TATATAAATCAAAGCCTTTTTAGTGTTTGTAATTTGGATTACAGTAGGGAGCCCACACAGCATGTTAGGTGCTTTCCAGACACTGAAGATGCCACACCTGCCTTGCCAAAAAAGTTTATGGTTTATGTAGTTGCACAAGATGGTGCTTGTTTTGTTCAGCTAGATTATAATTGTAAAAGTCTGCATTAATTTCCAGAAGGATCCAGGATCATGCCTGTCTAATCAGGGTTCTTCTCACGTGATCAAAAATACTGCCAGAAAGGCTGGATCTCCTGGAGATATTACCGAAGGGCTTCAAAAAAATCCCCCTTACAGTAGGACACCTGCTCCACTGTAGCTCAGAGCCCTTGTCTTTGATTGGCAGCCCTGCCAGCTTTCAGAGAGTAAAATAGTGATTCTTTGTCCCATTTCTTGCTAGTAAGCATTCATGCTACAGAACTGATCAACACAGACCATCCAGAGTCATTTAACATACTAGCTGTTTTGAGTGTCCATCCCCTCCTGTCCAGCAGAGTTTTCTTTCTAGCATTTTGCCTGTCTGAAAGCATGACAACTGCCCTCCTTTATAAACAGCCTCAGCTATCTGAAGAAGAAAAACACTGGCTGAACCCTGAAATGTGTCTGCCCATGGGGAGAGCACTTGAATCTCTTAACAGCTAGGACTACAATTCATAAATTACTCATTCCCAGTTCTTTATTCCCACTTCATGCAAGCAGGCACTGCTTTTCCAAGGAGCACAGACCTGCTCCAAAAAGAACACTTTAGTCACTGAAGGCATCTTGGTCTGCTAAGCCAAGCAGAGGGCTGTGAGCAACATGCACAGGGTGCCCTGACACCTGGTACTGACCTTCCCCAAACACAGGTGAGGCAGTAACGTGATTCACTGGTCCCTTCAGGGGAAGAGTAGCAAGATAAAGTATCCTGACTTGAACAGCAGATGTCCTATTATGACCCTTGAAGCTCAGATCAAAGCCTGATGTCCTAACAGCTTCAGGACACCCACACAAACAGTCCTTGCAAAAAACAGAATCAACACTCAGATTAGTGCTTGGTGCTGTACACACAGACACGCAACATGAACAGATCTGGACTGAGGGAAAAAGTAACCCTGTAAACATGTGCAGCACCAGCAGGCTTCCAAGCGTCATCTGGAAAGAAGAGGGAAACAATTATTTTAGCCCCGAGATTTCTCAAATCCACTTCTTGGTATCTGTGTTCCCATTTGTTTCAGAACAGACTACATCCAAAACAAATGAGACTGGAAATGGTGTCACTGGCTTATTGGGTTTTTTGGGTTTGGGTTTTTTTAATAGTAGAAGAACTATTAAAAGCAGAACTAAAAAGCCACAACAGCACCACACAAACACACAACCCCAAAACACACACAAACTCCCACAAAATAACCCACAAAAACTAGCAGGAACAATCTATTTTCCAGATAAATATTGACAAGATTGCAAATGGGACCCCTTGAATGTAGACAATACTAAAATGTAAGTAACACTAGTATTAGACAACAGTATTTGTGTTTTCATAGTATTTGCTTACATTAAAGAAGCTTGCACAGTTCCTACACCAATCAAGTCCTTGCCCTAAAGAGCTTCCAGTTCAATGCAGCTCTCAGAGCATCTTTTTATGTCAAATGTTGTATCTGTATAAGGACATAAACCTCCTCCTTTAGCAAATACATTTACACAGGTGCTTGCAGAAACCACTTCCCAAACTACTTTCTGCTTCTTCAGACTTGAAAAGAAAAAGGAAAGATAAGAGGTCAGAACAAAGTTAACTTTGCCAACAAAGCATATCTGTTCTTTTTCTCCACACCTCAACACCACTGCTGACAAACAACAAACACTGATTAAAGGGTTTTTAATGCCTGTGAAGGAAAGCAGACTCCCTGCAGCTGCACAGCAGCTGGGAACACTTGTGTTATTTAGCAGAGAAAGGTCTGACCCCACAAGTGAAAATGAGCTTGGTGGTCACTCATTCTATTCACCATCTGGGTACATTATAAGCACAAACAGAACAGCACAGCCCTTTGTGATGGAGGTAACGAAAAATGGCCAAAG